TTTCACAGACTACACGAAGGGGAAGAGCTGTAAATGTGAATTTCATTCTGAGAAAAGGCAAGAAATAAAACTAATAAATAAAATACTAGAGTAAATATAATTGAAGACAGAGAAATTGACAATATTAAAATAAGTTCTCTCTGTTTCATCTTATACAGTTTTAATGAAATTAAGGTCATTCTAATATAAAGATTTTTAGGAAAACACAAATTTTGGCAGATGAGCAAAAATCTTTGAACTCCTAGTTTGGTGAAGTAAAGAAAATGGTATGCAATAGGAAAATGGCAGATCATACTTGATAAATATAGCACTCACATTTAAAGAACCAAGGTATAAAATTATTCATACTATGCTAGACCAGACCTGCACAACCTAGGGACCTCCAGGTGTTTTGAATGTGATCTCACAGAATTCCTGACCATTGGACAAGCTGGTTAGGGCTTCCAGGATTTGGAGTCCCAAGCACCTGGGAGGCCACAAGTTATAGAGGCCTGCACTAGACCATAGCTGAACAATTGTGACTTGCCACGTATTTCTGGATTGTAATTCTCAGCAATCCCAGTCAGTCCTTTTCCTATGAGAAATATGTTGCCAATGAAATCAGAACGCCTTATACAAAAACCCCTCTTAACAAATCTTTCCCAGAAATCCCCAATGGATCGCCTTAGGGTCAGCATAGTTGGAAATGAAGGCACACAACAACAATCTTGCATTGACACCACTGCCTACTGAGCAGAATATTTTCATAGAAGCTTCCATAATGATCCCACTATGGTATATATTCACTTAAGCAGTATCCTTTAGCCTTAGCTTGTTTTTCTTAACACTGTTCAAGACCAAAAGTTCTTACAATATTTTCTAGTTTCCAAACAGTGTTTATTTATCACTCATATCATTTGTATTTAAGATTTACCTTTCGAGAATCAACAGATGCAAATGTATTTCCCCTTGGAGAGCTAAAGCTAGTTCCACAAGAACTACAAGCAATTTCTTCTAGCCATGTTGGTACTTCTTGTTGAGCCTTTTTAAAAAAGCACATTATAAATAATTTGTTTTGATATTCATAATTTAATAAAAAAGAAATAAAAAACAAAAGGCAACTTACATCTGCAAGCACTTTGACTAGAGGCTGTGCAATAGCACTGTCTGAATGAGAATCAAAGAAAGAAATTGCTTTTCCTGTATTTCCACAACGCCCAGTTCGTCCAATTCTATGAACATAGTCATCAATTGCAGAAGGAAGGTCAAAATTTATAACGTGTTGAACATTTTCAATATCCAGGCCCCTTGCTGCAACTGAAGTCGCAACAAGCACAGGACATTTTCCAGAACGAAAACACTGAAGAGCTTCTTCTCTCTCTCTCTGCTCCCGATCACTGGAACAAAGAAAGTAGTTACCACTTTTTAAAAAGATGCATTTAGATAACAATTTTAATACTAATAAGTATCACAAGTAGCCAAGTGATACTGATAAAGTCGACAATACTTTTACTTTCAAATACTCATTTGTCAAGTTAAAATGCTAATGTCTTGCAGATGTGACTGCAACCAAAAATGTAATCTTTATCAACAATTGCCTCAGCATCATAGACTTCAAAACAGTAGTTCCTAACCTGTGGCCTGTGGCCCACCCGTGGCCCAAAAGAACGAAAATATGGTCTGCGGACTCACCATTACTACATTGTTGCCTTGAAACCACATAGTAACGAGAGCAACTGTTCTCACGAAACTGTTCCAAGACAACGGGGATGTCGGGAGGGGAGAGGCTGACTACCCACAAAAGATTACTACTATCACATCATCTCCAAATTATTAAATACTAGCTTGGGGACCCAGCGTTGCCCGGGTTATTAGAGAAAGTGGGTATTGGTGGTTCTGTATGCCAAGTTTGGTCTTTATTGGTCTTTGGATAACGGCTGCATTGTTTTCAGGAAGTGAGTGAAGGTACTTGATGTCCCATCATCCATGACCCATCCTCCTACAATCAGCAGCAGGATATAGAGTGGGTCATGGGGGCTCTGTGTGCCAAATTTGGTCTTTATCAGTCATTGGATGAGGGTCGCAGTGGTTTCAGTAAGTGAGTGAAGGTACTGCAAGTCCCATCATCCAAAGTCCATCCTCTTTCAAACAGCAGCAGAATGTAGAGTGGATCATGGGGGCTCTATGTGCCAAATTTGGTCTTGATTGGTCATTAGAAGAGGGTTGCAGCAATCTTTGGAAGGGAGTGGAGGTACTTGAAGTCCCATCATCCATGGTCTGTCCTCCTCCAAACTGCACCAGGATGTAGAGTGGGTCATTGGAGCTCCATGTGTCAAGTTTAGTCTTGATTAGTGATTGGTGAGGGTCTCAGTGGTCTCAGGAAGTGAGTGAAGTGACTGCAAGTCCCATCATCTATTGTCAAATTCTTCCAA